TCCAGGTGTTCATGGAATACCAAATGAAATGTTTCAGCATGATGATAAAGCATTGGAAGCACTTACCTGTCTATGCCAGGAAATTTCAAAGACACTATTTGACCAACTGACTGTAAGAGATCCATAATTATACTCATTCCAAAGAAATATGACCCAACAGAATATTCAATTATAGAACAACATCACTGATATAACATGCGAGTTATATCTAAATTGTGCTAAAGATCATTCAACAATGGTTATAACACTACATTGATTGGAGGGGGAGAGAAGGTGGGTGCTACTAGAAGTTCAGGCTAGATTCAGAAGAGGATGTTGAACAAGGGATGTTATTTCTGATGGCAGATGGATCTTGGCTGAAACTATCAGAAAGGTGTTTACTTGTGTTTTATTGACTATGCCAAGGCATTCAACTATGTGGATAATTACAAACTATGGATGACCTTAAGAAGAATGGGAATTCTAGAACAGTGGTTTGCACTCATTTATAACTTGGACATGAATCAAGGGCAGTTGTGCAAACCTCACAAGGCAATACCGCATGATTTAAAATCAGGAGTGTGTGTATCAGGGTTGTAGCCTCCCACCACCTTTATTCAATGTGGCAATTGAGCAAATAATCAGAGATGCGGGATTCTATGAAGAAGAATGTGGCATCAGGTTTGGAGGAAGACTTTTCAAGAATTTGTGCAACCTTGCTTGCTGAAAGTGAGGAGGATTTGAGGCACTTGCTGATATAGAGCAAGGATTGCAACCTTCAGTATGAACTGCAGCTTAATGTAAAGAAGGCAAAAATCCTCACAAGTGGACCAATAGGTAACATCATGGTAAATGGAGAACAGGTCGAAATTGTCAAGGCTTTTGCCTTACTTGGATCCATGATCAATTCTCTGGGAAACAGCAGTCAAGAGATCAAAATATTTGTTGTATTAGGCAAATTTGTTGTACAAGACCTCTTTAGAGTTGAAATGCAAGGATGTTACTTTGAGGTCTAAGTGTACCTGACACAAGCTGTGGTATATTCAATAGCCTCATATACATGTGAAAGTTGGACATTTAATAAGGAAGACCAAAGAAGAATCAATGCGTTTGAATTGTGGTGATGATGAAGCATATGGAAGCTGGTGAACCATGTATTGCTAAAAGGATACATTGATCTGTTTTGTAAGAAGTATGACCAGAGTCTTCCTAGAGTCAGAGGTGGGGATACTTCATCTTACATACTTTGAACATGTTGTCAGGAGAGACCAACCCTTGAAGAAAGACATCATGCATGTGAAAGTAGAAGGGCAGTGAAAAGAGGAAGGCCTTCAATGAGATGGATCAACACAGTGGCTGCAACCATGGGATCAAGCATAGGAACAATTGTGAGGCTGGCACACCACTGGGCAGTGTTGCCTTCTGTTGTGTAAAGGGCCACTATGGGTCTGAACAGACTCAATGACACTTAACAACAACACTAAGAAGCAGTAGATGGAATCTGTCTTCTTCTTTATGGTTGTTCTGATTAGTGTCAGGGGGTATCTTAGGAAATCAGCCACAATAAACAAGACCAACCTAATAGGCTACAAGATTCCTTTAGGAAATATAATATTTTATTATGGTTAGGATTGCAACAATTCCATGATCCTGTCTTAGTTTACATTTTCCATTGCAAAGCTAGTCCGCACTGTGCTAAATGCAGCTGATGGCTAAAGCCATAGCTCCCTGCTGTTCTTTTGGGAGATACCAACATAAGCTAGGAGCAAAGGGAAGGTATACATATATGAGACAATGATAAATGAGAAATCAATTCTTTATTCACTCTTATTTGCTGAATTTTTGCCTAGATCTCAAGAACAGAGTTCTCTATAAGTTTATGTAGAACACATGGCCTAGTTCAAAGATGTAAGGGCCTTTATTTTCTTGGTAAAACCAACTCCAAATCTAAAGATCTCATCATTCTCCGCAACGTGTGTGTGTGTGTGTGTGTGTGTGTGTGTGTGTGTGTGTTTGTAAGAAGAAATGGAATAAGTTTTAACCCATGAGGGCAGGACTAAGGTCAACTTAAATGCTACTGTTTAGTGTTGTCAAGTATACACCAATCCTATGTACAACAGAATGAAACGCTGTCTGGTCCTGTGCCATCCTCATGGTCATTGCTATATTTGAGCCCACTGTTATCTGTTATAGTCACTGCATTAATTCACCTTCTCCTTTGTTTCCTGACCCTCTCCTTCACTAAGTATGACGTCCGTCTCCTGGGACTTGTTCCTCCTGATAGCATGTTCAAAGTACAAGAGAAGTCTCACCATCCTCATTTTTGAGGAAGGTTCTGGCTGTATTCTTCCAAGACAAATGTAAAAGCAAAGTCAAGTAGAAAGGAAAATGATAGAAGAAGAGCCATCTGGATATGCATGGGCTTTTAGTACACATAATCCTATTCACATTTCAGTGCTCCAGTATCTTATTCCAACATAATAACATTCAAAATTATTGGACATGAACAAAGTAAAAGGTTATAACTGTTACTGCAGGGACAGACAGTGAATTATTTAATGTAGCTCTTCTAGTCAAAGTCTCTGTAACTACCAGCTGCATGGATCTAGGTAGGAAGGCAGGGGAAAGACACTGATAGTATTCACCTGTGAATAACTGCTAACACAATTCATTGTAAGTGCCATCCTGCTGAGTATAAAGTGAACCCCCTGAGAAGCAGAAGGCAGATCTTACTACCAGACCCTCTGGATCTCAGGATCCTGTGCAGTGAACCTCCTTGATCCAGAAGACAATTTTAACGTCAGAGGAATGGTACAGGACCAGAACCAGTAGTAAAAGCATGAGCCAGAGTGGTGGACTCCTTACCCTGCAAATCAAGTCAAGCTCAGTGCTTTGGGGCAGAAGGCTGGTTTATGGAGTCAGGTCCCTCTGGGCACTTAATTGGGGGAGCTGGGCTTGCTGACCCATGGAGTTGGAGCTTAGTGCCTTTAGGTTGTTGCTTATTGAAATGGAATGTCTCTGGGAACTTTATGTAGGAAACTGGGTTCATGGAACTTGAGTTGAATACCTACAGGTTGAGGCTCCCAGTGGAGGGGCATGCCTTTGGGGCATTTATTAGCAGTTCTGAAAGAGCTTAGTAACACCACCTGACTGAACAACTGTTCAGTTGCATTTCTTACCTGCATTACAAATAAGTACATTCCTGTTAGTTACAAATATTGTCTCAGTTCTTTGTGGCCGTTGCAATGAATTACAGATAGAAAAGTCGAGATTGTTGCATGAGACAGAATTCAATTATTTTCACTCTCATAGCACCCACACAATAGACTAGAATAGGGGTTGAATTGGGTGGTAGTACCATTTGAATGTTATTTATCTTATGTTTAAGGATCTATCTATTCCACAAAGTTCATATGACTTAATCTTACATTATTAATGATCAATGTTTATGTTTTCTACTCACTATTAATTAAAAAAACAAAACAAACAATACTCTGTGTAGGATCATGTGAGAATGCTGAAAGAGCCTTAATAAAGGAAGGAGACAATGGAGACATAGTAGCAGTCCTTTACTGACTTGCAGACAAGCTGTTTTAATTCTCTGAACATCAGTTTTCCCATCTATAAAGTATGGATGCCAGGGTTACTCTCAAGAGTCAATAAACTAGCCTTTCTAAATAATACCACATAATGAAAGAATAAACAAACCTTTAAACTAAGGTACATGGAAGGACCATTTCCTTTTCATCAGACAACTTGATAGGCTAGAGACCTGGGCTGAACAAGTAAGACAAGGAAAAGAAGAATTGGTGTCCACAAAAATTAATTTGCTTTAGTCACTGTGATCTTGAGGTCTTGCCTTTTAGCAAACTGCAAGTTTCTACTAAATGGAGTAAATGCAGTTGACCTACAGTATTTTAGATTTTAACGTTGGCAGACAAGCTGTACACAACCCACAATAAAACAGGGTCTATGAATGAAATATCTCATGCTTTTCCTTTCGGCTTCAACCCCTGGAAGATACATTGCTTCTTTATTAAAGAGATGGAGGAAAGGGAAACATTGAGAACAAAATGGTTCGACTGGGAGACTTTCATTGACAAGTGGATTTGGAAAATAAATCTCATGTGGGGAGCTAGTTCTTTGTGAAGCTACCTGTTTACTGTCACTATTGTAGAATGGAGTGAAAATGAAACCGTGTAATGCAAGTTCTGTCCTAAAATGTATGTGCTGACTCCTGAGTTGCAGGGAAAACAAGGGTTTGTTAGCTCTTTCCAGTTTTCCACCTGGTAAATTAAAAAAACAACAACAGTTGTATTGGCATGTACTTCATATACCATATAATTTAATGGCTGAAATATATTGAAAAGTAATTGTGCAATCATCACCAAAATTTATTTTAGAACATTTTCTTCATTCTTAATCAACTAAGTTTAAGCATAACCTGTCTCTGATGGTCATCCTGATTAGGTCTTCTCTTTAATTTATGTCCTGATGAAGAGCCTTAAGGATTGTTGACTTAATTCAGATTGGTGTCAATGTGTAAAAATATAGAAACATCAACTCTCATGAATACATTAAAAATTTTAATTTTCTTACTTGTCCATTAATTGAATATCTCTTATGTATCAAACATTATGACTGGCACTTTAAAAACATCTCATTTAAAAATTATAAACCTGACTATCCAAAAGTGTGAGTCACAGGAAAAGGACAGTCTAGCGATGGGAGATGCTGAGGACCCTGGACCTGAGCATTAGGGTTTTGCACTATTTTTCAGTGCTCACTTCTTGTTTGGGGTTTCCTATAATGGCCATTCATTGTTTTTTCTTTTAACAGAATGACAATAAACCACGTGGTCCTGGCAAGCAGCTGTGTTTCTTACATTTTGTGCTTGGCGAGGAAGGAGAAACGGAATGTGCTTGAACACTGTTTCCAGTTGCCCAATCATTTCTGGTCTGTGAATTTTTACATATTTATCTTTTGCTGCACTTTGGGGAGGGTGAAAAGTAGGGCATAGATTAATGCTGGGGCAGGGGAATTGTTCTTCTCACAACTCTACGGAGTGCTGATTTGAACTCTTTATTTCTCAAGCTATAAATCATTGGGTTGAACATTGGAGTCAAGATAGTGTAGGACACTGATATCAAAGCATCCTGGCTCGAGGAGTAGTTAGATTTAGGTCGTAAGTAGATGAAGGAGGCACATCCGTAATGCACAGTCACAACAATGAGGTGAGAAGCACACGTAGAGAAGGCCTTGTACCTGCCCAGTGTAGAAGGAAAGTGGAGTATGGCAGAAATTATGTGAATATAGGACACTAAGATCAACGACAGAGGGATAACCAAGACCAAAGCACAGAGCATGAAGATGACAATCTGACTAAAGCGGGTATGATAGGATGCCACCTTGAGAACCGGGGAGATGTCACAGAAGAAGTGATGCAGTTGGTTGGAGGAATGGAAAGGGAGGTGAAACACCAAGATTGTGATAATTTGGGCAACAGTGAAGCCACAGGCACAGGCAACACCCACTAGCCCCCCACACACCCCGTGCCCCATGACCACTGTGTAGCGCAGTGGGTTACAGATGGCCACATAGCGATCATAGCCCATGGCTGCCAGCAGGAAGGAGTGAGAGCAGCCAAGGAAGAGGAAAGTAAACATCTGGATGGCACAGCCCAGGAAGGAGATGGTCTTCCTATGGGCCAGCAGGTCAACCAGCATCTTGGGAACAATGACAAAAGTGTAGCAGGTCTCAGAGCAGGAGAGGACCGCGAGGAAGAAGTACATGGGGGTGTGGAGGGCCCTGTCGAGCACGATGGTGGAAATGATGAGGGCATTGGTGCCCAGAGTGAAGAGGTAGAGGAGCAGGAAGACAACGAAAAGCAGCGGCTGCAACTCAGCCAGTGACGAGAAGCCCAGGAAGACAAACTCTCTCACCGCCGTCTCGTTGATCCCCTCCATGGAGTGTATGTCCACCATCAGGGTACCATTGGAGAGAGAGGAGACAGTGCCCGGAGAAGTCTCTGGAAAGAAATAGAGCCTCAGGAAGTTGATTGCCATGTCTTTTCAGAGTTTGAGTTCTTCATTCACCTTCCTTTCTATTTCTCTAAAACACAGATTAGTTTGGAAAATCAGGCAGAGCGTACCTCTGTCTATGAGAACCCAAAGTAATTCTGACATTATGGTGGAATAGGAGGTCTTACTATTTCTGAGATTCAACGATCCTTTTGTCTTCAGTTGTTCCAGGATGAGGCTGCTGCTCAGATTCTCGGCGCTCTCTCTTACAGTACCTGGCAACTCTGTTTGTTCTCCATTTGCATTCTTTGCCTTTACAATCTCCAAAGAAAAATTTTTTTTACAGCTCCAAAATAAACCATCAGAATTATATAGATATATGATTGTCAATAGCTATTCATTATCAATCTCATTACCTAAACTCCTCTTCTTAGTTTTAATTTCTCTAAGATCTGTATCCATACTCTCTCAAAATCTCCGTGCCTTCATGCTGGAAGGAACCATTAACTCAATTTTTAATCCTTCTTCCTTATGCTGATTCTTTTCTTTGATTTTTTATTTTGCTCCCAGAGGCTGGAAAAATCTCCCCCTTTTATTTTTCATGTATCTAATCTGGGATGGAATGTATATATCCACCCTCCAATGTTTGTCTCAGGATTCTCCCACCTGCAGGGAGAGATATAGTCTTCCTTTAGGACTCTTCTTTCTCTCCAAAATTTTTCTACCCCCTACTGAAATCACATTATAGCTCCTCCCCCCTTTTCTTTGGCCTGCTACCATCTTCTCATATCTTCAATCCATCTAGTCCCTGGTGTCAAACCAGCTTTCTAAAATATAAATTAGATCATATTGAGTCTCTCCTAAAGTTTTTTACATATTGCTACAACATAAAGCTAAAACTCTGCCATGTTGTTTTTAAGGTCTTTCATTTTTGGACCCAGACTTTGTATCCCTGCTATTCAAAAAGCTCATGAAAAAAATAACATTTTCCACGAAGCCTCCTTGTGTGTATCTTCCCTTGTCTATATTTCCTGTGCATGAGAATCTATTTTCTATTAATTCTGAAGCCCCAGTATAAGCATTTTTGGCACCTTCTGATACAACTATCTATTTCTTTCTCAGAACCAACATAAGACATTGATCAACAATTTGATGTAGAATTTAGTTCATTTTGGAATTTGAAACATTATATTGTAATTCTCTCATATTGGCTCTCTTGAACAATAGATCTTGTACCCTTGAGGGAAAGATATGAATTGTATGTGACTTCTCCTGGTATATTCTCAGCATCTACAAGCAAATTAAGTAGTTATAGATTCTCAATAAATACTTTTAATATAACAATTAAAGCTGTTGTTATTTAAAACTGTTGTTTAAGCTTGGCATATTGTTATATATCTTATTCATGGAACCACCAACTTCTTGGGGCTCATGGGGTAAGAGAATGCTCAGTTTTATCTAATTATTAGCTAGAGAATTGGTAAGTAGTAAATACCAAGAATATTGAAGGCTTTTGGTACTTGATAGAACCAAATTTTACCTACTTAAGCCTAAAAATAAATCTCAGTTCACAATAGGAAAATGCTAACAGAGAGGGTATAATGGCAATTGGAATTCTTGGTACTAAGATTATTCCTCTGAAGCCCTGGTGGGTAGTGGTTATGAATTAGGCGGCTAAATGCAAGGTTAGCAGTTAGAAATCACCAGCCAAAAGGAAAGAACGTTCTACTCCCATAAAGAGCTAGTCTTGGAAACTCAGGGGAAACTCTAGTCTTTCCGATAGGGTAGCTATGAGGCAGCATCAAATTAATGGCAGGGAATTTGTTTTTAGGAGGATAATGTCCAATTCTTAATTTTTTGGCTGCTCTCTAGAGCATATTGAAATGTCAGTAAATAAAAGGAATATTATAAGAATAATATTGCATTTATCCCCATGTAGAAGTATAGTCATTAAAAAGATTCGAATTACTATTAGCAAAAATAATGGTAGTGCACCTTACTTTGGCTAACAAACACAGAATCATGAATATTAGAATTTATTGAACACCATGATTTAACACCAGGCTTTGGGCTATGGATTCGATATACCTATAAATAAGATCCAATTCAAGTACCCCAAACAGTTCAAGGGTGAGACACAGTCAAAGAAAGAGATTATCATTAAATGATAGATATGCACTTGTAATCATAAGAATACTGAGAAGTTTCATCTTTTGCCTACCCTTTTCCTGGGTTCTATTATCTATTATAGAAGAGTTGACTACAGCATGCTTAGAAAAATACCAAGAGATTGGGCACTTTTTAGTTTCTCCTACTTTAATTCAGATGTGTAATTAGTTTAGTTAATCACAATTGCATGCCTAGCCTCTGTGTGAATGTTATCTGGTCCTTGGTTTATCTGTTTTTATAACTGTACTTAATGTTCCATAAAACTCTATAAAGTTAAATCTCGTTTCATTTCTCCATTGTATTTCTCTGGTTCTTTGCCCAGTGCTCAATGCAAGGTTATTTTTTAATCACTTAGAATTATTGGTAACGCACTTTAATTTTTTAAGTCTGGAATCCACAGTTTTCAGAATTACTAATTATTTTCTACGTACATCACCTTCATGAACACATGTAAAGTTGAGTAACATCTAAATAAAATGATTGTTGAACTTAGAAAAAGACAATCTTAAGTCCTGTCTCTGGAACGTTCCAAGGAGATCGATGGACTCAGTGGCTGCAACAATGGGCTCAAAGAGAAGGACAATTGTGGGGATGGTGCAGGACTGGGCAGAATCACTTTGCTGTATAAAGGGTCACTACAGCACTTAACAATAGCAACCACAGCAAGAGCTGGCATATTCTAGTAGTAAGCCCTTAAATTTTTTCCTTTTCTCATTTTTATAGATATGAAGGATTTTAAAGTTCTATCCTGGTAGTCTAATCTGGTAGATGAAGAAACTGAGTTTCACAAAGCGCTGTGATGATCCCAAAATAGAAGGGAACTGAGTGGATGTGTTAATAACAGAAAATAACAGCTTTCAGACAAAGACATTTATCCTGGAGATGCTCAGACTACAGATGCTCTTGCCTTCTCTTTGTGTGTAGCATTCCCCTCTCCTGAGGCTGTCTGTTCTCCGTGTGCCCGGGTCACTATTCTGCATGTTCTTGAATTCCCGGAGGGCAGCGCTCCTTGTTTCTTGATTATGGGTGGCTTTTAGTTATTTGCAGAAGACTCAAGTTCTTTGCTCTATATTAGGTGTTGTTACTTGGTCTGGATATCACACAACAAGCCTTTCTTCAAAAAGATTATTATTTAATTCTTGTCCCTGTTGAATTAAATCATAATCAAGACAACTGGATACATTTTGGAGGAGCAAGTGAGTCTGCTAATTTAGAACATGTATACAATGCATATGAATAATTTTGTAGAAATTCACCTTAATATTTAAGTCATTTCTTAAGTGATACTCTAGCTATTTAGTACCTATATTTAGAACTCATTGTGGCTCTCTTATTTATACTACTTACATTGTATCACCATAGACCCCATCTCTTTTCTCTCTTACCTAAAATGTGAAAACATAGTTCCCACTGAGAAGATGCTCACTTCCTGTCCATTGTTCAGTTTCTAAATGCTGTAGGTTTTCATTCTGAGATAGATGACTGTGATCCATCGGTAGACTTCTATTTGCCTTTTGGTATCTTTAGAGAAACCTGAGATGTACAGATTGTAGATGGCAGCATCCAAGGTGAAGTGCTTAAAAGAGCAAAGGTAAAAATGGGGTGCAGGCTATGAATCTATATTTAGGAGTCAAAATGAGATGATAGTCTGGGTTCTTAGACCCCAACCAAAGTCAGGTGTATCCAATCTCCTCCTGCCATTATGTGCCACTGACCAAAGACTGCAGCACACAGGTAATAGCTTTCATTATATTTATTGGCAGCGGGCAGTTCTTCTGTGGGTCTCCTGGCGCCAGAGTCATTGCTATGGAGATGTTTCACTGGGTTTAATTAAAATCTGGGTTGATTGTGGAAAATAAAGGTGAGTCACAAAATAACAAATTGTTTACAATTGTGTCCAGGCAGTAGGACTTGGGGAGCAGAAAGCTCGAATGCTCTCAGTTATAGCAATTTGAGAAAATTTGACTAATTTCTTAAGTTTCCAGCAATGATGTATTAGATCCAACAATGGTTTCTTGGAGTGAAGGCTCAGGTCAGAATCTGAAAAGAGACTCAATTCACCATTGTAATTGTTGTAGTTGCTGCATTCTCCTTTTCCCTGTATCTTCACTCCATTTTCCATATCCTGATACCATGCATTATCTCACATAGGAAACACCAGTAAATGTCTGCTGAATGTTGAGTGAACAAATGGTTATAGAAACAAAGACTCCATTAGAGCAAAAAATACCATTTTCTACTCTCATTATTTTTTTTGGTTTTCTACTTCCCTTGTGGCTATGCTAGGAATGAATGTGATTTCAACATCATTTTTCATCACACTGGTAGCCCATATGGAAGATCTTTAATAATACTTGTGTCTAGTAAGAGATCAGAAACTATGCGATGGATGAGGAACACAAGAACTACCGAGAGCAAGAAGGATGTCCATGAAATAGCCAGCTGGAAGACTATAATTCGATATATCTGAATTTGAATACTGGACACTTAATAAAATGATAACTAGCACTCATTCTTATTTGTTCCCACAATTTTATATTGGTTTATTTTGCCTCCAACCTTATTTAAATTTTCTCTTTGAAATTTCAGAGGCAGGGAAAGTGATTGAGCTAAACCAACCAGGGTATTGGACCAAACAATTCCCTGGCCACAGTGTTTGGTTCACGATGGGCACATGGTCTGACCAGACTATCAAGATGAACACACTCTTGTTTTTCACATCAGAGGAAAAAAGTTTTCTCTTCCACTGAATTGGATTACGTGACCTGAAGCTGCCA